GGGTGACAACTTGTTGAAGAAGTCTGAGAACATGGGCTGGTGGAAGGGTCAGGACCGCTTTCTTATGATATTAGTTGCTGCTAGTTGAAACGAAGAGATGCCCAAATTGTCACCACATGTCGCCACTCTTTTTTTAAATCAAGCCAGTGGACATTGGAGTACAGGGAGCCCCCCCCAAAAAGCCCAGCTGCTTCGAACCTGAACCCGAACCATTTCGACCGTCCGCCGCGTTCGGGTCGGACCACGGTCCCACGAAAACCCCGCGGATCCATCGCGCCAGGACGTGGAGGTGGGCAGCGAGATGATCCACGTGGACACCGTCTCCGACTCAGTCAGCAGAGAACCATTCTCAATTCTCAATTCTCCACAGGATCCATGATGATCCATGCATTTCATGTGGAAGAAAACCATATGAGCCTGAACATCTTTTGGTTTCCAGACTCAACTCCAACAGGTGAAGAAGGGTCAACCTTTATATATTATCCTTTATTAACATCCAGACAGACATGATCGGCTCTCGGGTCAGGTCTATGACGTCTTGGACAAGATGTGCCGCGTGCCGGAGCGCCCCATCAGCGCCCCCATGCGAATGCCCATCAGTGGCATCTACAAGATCAAGGGCGTGGGTGATGTGCTTGCTGGACGCGTCGAACAGGGTGCTCTGGCAGCGATCGTTGGTGAACAAAGGGTTTCTACTTTGTCCCCGTGAGCAATCCAAGGAGTTTCGAATTTTGCATGATTTGTGGGGAGCATTCTTTTTTCGAGTCTGCGAACTCGTCAATCCTAAGGTGTGGTGAAGCCTGGTGAGGAGGTGGTCTTCCTGCCCACTCACACGACTTCCAACCCTTGCACTGGAAAGGTCTTCACCGTCGAGATGCACCACCAGCGCGTGGACTTCGCCAACCCCGGCGACAACGTGGGCCTGAACATCAAGGGCCTGGACAAGAACAACATGCCCCGATCAGGTGATGTGATGGTGTACAAGAAAGACACCACCTTGGGTCAAACTAAGGAGTTTGATGCCCAGATCCAGGTCTTGGACATCCCCAATGAGATCAAGGTGGGCTATTCTCCCATTGGCTTCGTGCGCTGTGGTCGTGCCGCCTGCCGCGTGTCTGCTCTGAAGTGGAAGATGGGCAAGGAGACTGGTGGAAAGAAGATGGAGGACCCCCACTCCCTGAAGTCCAACGAGATGGCTCAGTGCAGCTTCCAGCCACAGCAGCCTTTGGTGTGCGACACCTTCAAGAACTGTGAGGGTCTCTCCCGCGTGGCGTTCATGGATGGCAACGGCGTGGTGATGCTTGGCAAGGTGGTGAGCTGTGAGCGCAAGGGTGAGGGTGATGACAAGGGTGGCAAGAAGAAGTGAGCTCTGAATGAAGTTCAGGGTCTGTGACGATGTAAGGATGTGGGTCAGAAACAAGCTTCTCCAAAACACTGGCATGTAGATCAGATGTGCACAGGGCATAGGGCGACCTCCCCTGTAGTTCATTCTGTTTATATTCATGGGGGCAGCTTCGCTGGTTCTGCGCAGTTTGGACCCACAACCGATCTAGGACCAACTGGTGAGGCACTGTTCTGCACTAGATAGAAGCGTCCTAATCTCTTGAACTTGCAGCGTTTCGCAGGGCGAACTTCCTTAGCACTTGAGGATGACACATAAATGGCCCGCGCGGAAAAAGAGAACGCTCCCACTCCCATGATTTTCATGACTTGGACGCATGGAGAGGCGGACTCTGCTGAGTTGCTTGCAAGGACATGATGGCGGCCTTCAACTTGACACGATCCATCATGTTCTTGTTTGGAGAGGGAAGCCCAGGTCATCATCCCTGCAACGGACTACCCGCCCAGACAACCCTCCGACTCAGTGACATGTAAACGGATGGTGTGGCCCCTAGAAAGACGATTCTTCAGCCATGCTTAGCGCAGGACCCACAAGACATGATGAAGCAGCTGCAGGGTGGCCGAAGGAATGCAGGGCCGGAGGTGTTTTCGAACATGTGCAGTACGTACCTCACCCGGCATCCAACAAAGATGGAAGACTTTGTTCCACACGGTGCGTTTTCCATGTTTCTCCACTCCCAATGTTGGTTGGAGAGAGAATCACCATCATGCAGAACTCGTCCAAAAAGACCCTGCTACTCATTGACAGAGGATGTCCCCACACGGAGCACGCGGACCGGTCCGCGGAGCAGACCGGGTATGGGCAGCAACTTGAAGGATCAGGTTCTTGATCGGCTCCAACTGGAAGGGCCTTTCAGTCCTTCCAGTTGAGCCTGTGTTGATTAATTTGTGAGGTACTAGCAGCTAGCAAGGACTGATTAATTACTGTACTGGCTAGAGAACAGCGGTTTAAACTACCATGTTCTGAAATGTCTATGCAATTTTCATGGTTCTCACTCGCCCAGACTTGGGACATTCACCTGAGAACCTCATGATGGGGCTCAGAACATCACCCCGCCCCCAGGTTCGGGGATTTGGGCGCTGCAGGCAGGGAATGGTGTGTGCACACCCATCGGGTCTTCAGGTGATTTGGAGCGGGCTTTGGTGGATGTAGAGGCATGCGGGGAACACTTCCACTTGGCACTCAATTCGGGGCATGTGGTTGGTCTGCGGAGAGCTGGTCGAAGTGCAAGGTGCCCAAGTGGTTTTGCAGTTCGACGAGGAAGCTCAGATGAGATTGCCACTGTGTTGAATCTCTCTTGATATACATATATATATATATACACTCCACCACAAATACACGTCTTTCCCATGCCAAGATGTGCCACACCCTTTTGATGGTTCCAGCCAACTACTCATTCTCCCTGTGCTTCTGGACCCTCAACCTACTTCTCACGGTTCTCACCTTCAGCATCGAGATCTCCAACTCGCTGATCTCAAAACGAGCCCGTTGGATACCAGTTCTGCTTCCATGGCACAGATTTTCCTGCTTGGCCCCGATCCGTTTACACAACCCTTCAAACGCATCGTTTCTTGTTTGGTATAAACTCCCAATCTCCATGCAACTCAACCACAAAGTTTGTCGCGAAACAGGTATATGTCATGACATCTCAGTACCCATGCAAGTAGAAAGTGCTCAAATATGTTTGTCGAGAGTAGAGGGATCAGCTTGGTTTGTTCTAAAGAAATGAGAGCTCACTGCTCCGCACCATCATATATAGAAATAGAATCCTAGTGAAAGTGGGTTGTGCTTCAGGCACCTGGCACCTGTCGGTTGCTGTGCTATGTTATGCCACCCCAGGAAACCCGACTTTGCAGGTTCTTTTGGACGGGAAAAGGGCACCAGATTTGGATGAGGCGCTTGAGGCCGTGGAACTTGAGGTATGTGTGGACGTTCTAACTCCCTATATACGCCGTTGAGCTATTTTCCTCGAACAGGTGGTGCTATCTTCCATGATGATTCCAGGGAGTGTTGCCGAGAAATCGGCTGCACACACCTGGGAGTTGCTCCAGAACCTCCGTTTTCCTCGGCCGCGAGGTGGCAACGCCGCCGGGGACTCGGCACGGGGTGGTTTGTTTGGTTTCGTTCGGACCAGGCCAGGGAGGCTACTATTCTGGGAAGGGATGGGAGGATGCTTATGCATTCCTTCGGGAAGCAACATCCGCCCACCCGTAACATCCGTCCACCCGTCTTGGTGGGGGTAAGAACCCGGCGAATGAGATTGGGTGGTGCAAGAACCATGCACATTGATGCACTTTGGACAACACCGGTCTCACCACCTGCGGAGGACTGTTTGTTGAAGGCTACTTGCAGGCCTGTCAAGTGAGCCACGCGGTCAAGATGCGCCTCCGGTCATCTCTTGAGTCTTTTGCAAGGTGTATTCCAAAGGTGTTTTCCATGTTTCCAGTGTGTTGGCGAGAGTCTCTTTCAGCATCCTTGGTCGGACTTCGGATCCCGAGAACTACCATGGACACGTGGACCCAGGATCTGTTCAATCTTCGTTTCCTTGACCAGGCGCATCAGTTCGATCAGTTTCCCTTCAATTCCACCGAGTTACTAAGACGCCCCACCTGTCCCACTGCTTATACTTGATGCATTTTTCCTGACTCCGACTAACCTGGGTTCTTCGACCTCACCTGCATGCATGAATTGGACATGGCTCTCCAACTGCGCCCTCATCCGATCTGGCGCTGACCTGTCCGCTCTTCCACCAGGGCGCCGCCGAGAGCTCGGGATGCCCAGGGAGAACGACCGACGCGGACGAGCGGACGGGCCACCGGGTGGCAGCCCTCGATTCTTGGGGATCAGGGTTTTGGACCTTCTCCGAAGAAGACGACGGTCAGGAAACATGAGAATGTAGACTCTGAGATGAATAAACCCACCCCCATTGAAAGAGGATGTCCAATTCAAGCGGGGTGGGTTTATTAATCAAAGAGTCTACATTCTCATGTTGAATCAATCACCATTCCGGAGACGCAGCATGTTTGACAGCTTGGGCTGTTGATGTCCAATGTCGTCCTTCCACCACAGTCCGAGCCGCCATTGTCCAATATACTCTACGGACCCTGCTGGCAATGCTGGCAGATTCTAGGACCTAGGATCTGCCCTGAGAATGGCAGTGGTTGCCTGGGACTGGGACCCTTGATTCTATCCCACTTGGGTGTCGCTGCCTGCTGGCCTTCGGCTCCTCTTCAAAGCCAGAATGCCAAGTACTTCAGCGCATCAAAAACCCAAGAGATCGCAGCTGTAACACGAAGCTGGGTGAGTGTTTGAAGGGTCCGGACTAGAGACAGTGTTTTGATGTTGAAGTCCGGCAAGAAGAAAGCCCGTCCCTGCCAGTGTTGGCACTTGCAGATGCCAAAGCATGCCAAAGGGCTCAATCTTTCCGATCAACTCCAAGGTCATCAGCACACTGCAGACTCCTGACGAAGCACATCTCATCAAATTACGATTTTGGTCTTTGCGATGTGCCCCTTCCACCTGGGTTTCAGCACGGCACCCGTTCGCACCCAAACGGCTTTCAATCTTACGTGCTCTCCGCCCTTCATCACCAGCCCCACCCTTGTGTCCACCTCTCCTCGTGCGACCCGCGCGTTCACCGGACTCGCCATGGACGAGCTGGCGGAGATCCGCCGGCGACGGGCTGCCCAGTGGGAAACCGCCCAGGCCCAAGCGGCCGAGGCCGCCGGTCCCACGCCGGTCGTTGCACCGGAAGGCGCCACGGCGGTTCCGGAGGCCACGGGTGCTGGAGAGCCGGTGGAACGAGAGGCCGGAGAAGAACGAGAGGCCGGTGAGAGCGGGTGGAGAATCAAGCTGCGGCCATTGGGTGTTGCGACTTGAAGTCGCCAGGGGACTGTATGATGACGTGCGAGGAGACGCGGAGAATATTCGGCGTCATGTGCTGATACACAGAGGTCGGAGAACATTTTGTACGTATGCAAACTGTAAAAGAAGGGATATAAACATACATATAATACATAGAGACTTATACATACACACAGTGAGGGAATGGATTGGAAGGCGTGGAAAAACAAACGCTTTATGACTTTTTCATTGCAGGCCATCAGCTCAGCGACCTCCTTCTCGGAATTAGATGAGAGTGTCACCACAGGAAAGCCTTTTTCAGCCCGCTTCCCTCTTGTTTTGATGGCAGGATTGTGCGACCTGATGCTGATTCCTTGTAACAGTGGAAGACACTTATATGTTATATAGTATATAATATATATAATATTTATCATTTTTGTTGCAGTGGTTTCAGAGTAGATGGCGCAATCCCAAGTTAGGTGGTTTATATGGACCCCCATCCACATGACATGTAGGAGTTTGTGCCATCTACTCTGAAATCACTGTATGTTCTCATCTTCCCCCAGGGCGCTGGTCCCACTGCAGAGCAGCGCTGCTGCCGCATTTGCTTCGACTCAGAAGAGTCCAAGCAGACGGGCCGGCTCTTCAGCCCCTGCCAGTGCACAGGCGGGCGGATTTTCCTGGTGCTGGACGAATGAGCACCGCTTCGTGGGTTAATCACCCATCCCCCTGGTCACAACAGAAGCAGATGTAAATATCGGACAGGACATCCTCAGTATACTACCCATCCGTGTGGTTTGTGAGTTGAGATGGGAGTGGCTGTAGGATACTCGTGAGGATACCCGCTACTCCTGAGTCATCTCGTTTTTGGTGTTGGTGTCTCGGCTGTCAAAGTCTCCCAAGCCCCCCTTGCAGGGAGCATGCGCTTCGTGCACGTGAGCTGTTTGAACGAGTGGCGAAGCGCCTCCTGCAACCACAGGCAGAGCAAAGAACGTTAGCCATGTGGTGAGTTACACATCGAAATGAATCGAATCATCGACCTGGCAATTTTTTTGTGGGGCGCTCGTCCGAAAAGGGGCATGTTCAGTGGCATGAACTGATGCTCATTCAGGGCACTTTCAGCCCATCCAGAGAAGCCAGGACTATTCTGTTGACTTCACAGTTTTTTGCTCCGAAAGGGGGTGTCGGCGCGTTTTCCACATCATGGGGATTGCGTGGAGGCTGTTTGTTTTGCGGGATGGGTAAAACGACCCTGCTTCATCATGCTTCATGACTCGATATGCGAAGCGCATGGGCCGATGTTAGGGGAGAAAAAGCGCCCCAAGCACTGCGAACTCAGTGAGGTCCTACTACCACTGCGACGCCTGTCACTACAAGTATCGGCTGCAGCGCTTGTGGGTGGCTGATCTTCTCATCTCGCCAGGCCTTTCAGTCTCGATGAAGCCGGGTGGTGGGGTGGGTCGAGGGGACCAAAAAAAAGAAGGGCAAGAACGTCATTTTCAGCCTGTTCAGCTGCTTCTGTGATGTTTTTGATATGTTTCGAGATGTGTTGGATGGGAAGAAGGGTTTTTGTGGCTCGGGGCGGATGGATCCCTATAAGGGGGGACGAACGTGCAAGTTGCTTTGTTCACTTTGTTTGCGGAAGGATCATTCTTAAGAGGCTGGCTGATGTGTCAAGAAAAAACATTGTAAAGCAGGTTTTAAACTTTATAGTAGTCTTTAACCCTTCGAGGTACCTATAGGTACCTCCAAGATTTTATTCAGGAGATTAAAGGATTGCTTTGTTCACGGTGACTGGCTCAAGGTCGTTCGGAATTGCCCTCAGCCTCCAAGCTTTCATTTGCATGTCCTCCGCGTGCTTTCGGTGCCAGTTGGAAGGTTTCCACTTGGCTTTGAGTCTCTCATTCTTTGTGGTCAGTGCACTTCTGGTGGGGCTCAACCTCATCATGGTGGCACCGTGGGCTGCTTGCTCCAAAATGGCCTGGGCGGATCTGAGGTGAAGAATCCGCAAACACCAGGGCAAGCACCACAGAAACACCAAATCGGATGCATCATCTCGAGCTACACCAGAAGGCCCGAAAGGGTTCTTCGAGCACACCCCAAATTCGCATTTTGCCGCACGTTTGATCACTCGACACGCACGATCTCCGCAAAGGGTTCATCCGGCCAGGCACTAGAATAGAGAGAGGGTCTTTCATTTATGTCTGAAACCTTCTGGGTGAAATTTGGGGCCTGAGTTCTATAGTTACTGTAGATTTTCTGGCTCGTTTGAATAGTAGTTTGGATCACCTACCGACTATGCAGTAGACATTAATATGCTCCAACGCCCCTGTTCACTGGATGAACCTCTCGGTAGCCTTGCCAAACTGGCGCGCTGTTCCAAGTTCATCCAAGTTCCAAGGTCATTGAAAGTTCGCTGGATCAGCTGCATTTGCCACCTGATGTTCGCTTCCTGTTTACAGAGGACCTGCCAGTCAAAGGCAGGGTGAGGGGCACATCAGGCAAACACGCCAACTCGTGCAGGTATTCCGTGCGCAAAACGACAGAGAAACATGAGAAGTAGCTATCGTGTTCAATGGAATCTGCGATTTGTGTTGCCCTGTCCATGTTTCACAATGTTTGATTCAACCGATTTAGTTTTTTTTCAGTTTTGATGCTCGATCGATTGAATTTCCAGCCGAAAGTACATCAGATGAAGATGAAACTATTACCAATGGTTTTCATTGAGGGGCTGGCTGCCCCATCCAAGTATAGATAGCATAGAAACGATGTCCAAGAATGTCCAAGACATATTGAGAAGGATATTGTTTGATAGATTTGGAAGATTTTGGAAGATTGCTTGCTGGAAACGCCGTGAATCATTTCATCAGCCTTTGAATGTGTGCACCAGATGTTGCTTTGTGATATCAGCTCGTTTTATCATGCCTTGGACCTGTTGCAAGAAGTGCAAACATAAAGCTGACATCAGCTGACACGTCAGGCCGGCAGTGAGAGGTACCTCCAGCATACCTGAACCGTAACCTAGGCAATCCTGCATGCTGGCATCAGGGCTACACCTTCCAGGCACCCGCCGCTGGAATCGGCTGGGCGGTGCAGCATTGATGTCCAAATAAATATTTCAATCCAAACAGTGCTTTGGACCTTGGACATTTTTGGGATGCCCTTGAAGACCCACAGCATTCGAAGATGTATCCCGTTCGTGTAAATGTGTGGGCTTTTGTGGGTGCGATGGCCAGCTCGGGGCGTCACTGTGAACGACTTAGCCAGTCAGCACTGCTTGGTGGCTTCACTGTTGGCCAAGCAAAGCTCACTGGTTCTTTCCTTTCTCAGCCACCACTCAGAAAGCTGGGTAGAATGTTGGGATCATGGTCACAGTGAAAGTTGATGCGTGGGAAGAACCGGAAAGAACTGGGAGTTGTGGCGTAAATGACCCTCAGCAAACATGGGAACCTTCTTTCCAACACCGTTTGGAGGCCTGCTGCGGGCGCGGCCGCCCTGGGAACCCTGCGTGCCACTCGGCATCACTCGGTGCTCAGCCAGGGACTGGCCACCGAAAGCGTTCTTCCAACCGGGAGGTCACTTTGGATGAAGAGAGTCATGATGGGAGGTCACAAGCTTATCATCAAGCTTGACTGGGAGGTCACTGGGAGGTCACTGGCATCAAGCTTATCATCAAGCTTAGGCCCAAGCTTGTGAGACATCGAATGAAGAGAGACTCTGTGCTAAGCTGCTAAGCCTGTTTCTACCGTGCCAAGCTGCACTGTTCTTGGTTCACGTTCCCCAGTGTCGGTGTGAGAGCGAGCCAGCGTTTCTTGGGTTTAGAGAGGTCTGTGTTTTGCTCCGAGTCCTGGGGTGAAACTGTGTGAGACGAGACGACCTCTGAGGCTGGGACGACATGCACAGCTTCGACTCCTGCTGCTTGGGCATGTCCGAGACCTTGCAGAAGCTGCGGGCCCTCTTGGGCCCTTTGCTGCGGGTCCTCTTTTGCGGCTGCACCTTGGAAGTAGCGAGCTGCGAGTTCAGAAGTGGCAGTCCGACCAAGCTGATGCCAAACCTTAGAGGGTCAGGTGTTTTCCGCCTCAGCTCCAAGATGGGACGCGCCGTCTCAGCGTCGCATGACGTTGGAACCTTTGGACACGTCGCATGACGCGGGTCTCGCTTCGGTCCCAGGGTAGTTCCTCGACGGGTCTGACGGGGTCGGAACGAAGAATGCCCAACAAGCGGTCCAGATCTCGATGTCGCTCGTGGCTGGGTCTGCTCGGTGCTGCACAGGGCTTGGACTCTCCTTGCTGGGCTTTGGCCTGTACCTGCAGCGGCAGCTACGGGAGGCTTGGGCCAATGCAGGCACAATGAATGGGGAATATTTGAATGATTTGGTTTGAACAGTTGCTAGAACTTGTGTCTCGTGCAGCTTCTTCAGGCCGGCCATAAGAATGCCATAGCATGCTCTGGCACCAACCTGATGTCAAAAACACCAGCTCCAATGAACTCAATGAACCGTAACCAGGAGCCACCCGATGAACTCAGCCACAGTGTGTTCTCTGGATTGCTTCACGAGCCACAGGTGGCAGCTGGCAAGTGGCAGTCTTAGTCGTGTACCTCTCATCCTTTGGGCGCGTCTCTCAGCGGACCGAAGAAAACGAAGCGGTGGAGGGCTCGGTTTGCCTCCAGCGTGAAACCACCAAAGGACACGGCATGTTTGGATCATTTTTGCATATTTTGGTCCAAAATTGCTCATCTAATATCATCTATATAATAATACATTATTGATGTACTGTGTTTGCATCTACTATGCGAAAGCCTTGCGTAACATAATCCTTTGTGGGATGTGTTTGCCTCTAGGGGAGAGGGTCTGACCATGTTTAAACCATACAGATTAGTGCGGATTCGAAGTAAAGAGCCGTGTACCTCACAGAAGTCACCTCCGAAAACTACGCCATTCGGAACGCATCGGATCATGCAAAACCCTCTAGTTTGCACAGACAGGCGCGCCCAGCGGCCCAGCGTTCTCGTTTTTTTTTTGGTACCGTTGAGGTGTTTGTTTGTGTTATTTTTTGGATTAGCCTGGCTAGGCTCACTTCCAACATCTGATAAGTCACGCATCAACCCCACCAGTGCGGCGATATCCAACAGACCCACCGCCCAGAACCTGAGGGCTTGGCGCGGCTGGTGGCGCTGGTGGGCTCGGCCATCGCGCTACGGGAGCTCTTCGTGCATCTGGAACGGCACGGGAAGCGCTGGAGCAGCCGCGTGGGCGAGCGCCACCTGACAAGGGACAGGTGGTGCTGGTTGGTGCGGGTTGGGGCTGCTTGGGAGGTTCGGAGGTGAAACTTGGAAGGAGGAGAAGTGGTCTTGGTCTTTGGGAGAGAGTTTGGACAGGAGTAGGATGTGAGGATGTGAGGGTGAAGACCTGCCCTTTATTCACAACAAGCATCTCGGTTTGAACATCCAGGAAGCTTGAGAAGCTTCAAGCATCATTTGGACTAGTCAATACATGACAAGTAATCAACAGTCATCGGGGCCTTTTGTTCATGACCTGTCATCAAATAATATCGAGCATATGTCGTCAACTTATGTACCATGTTTCATCAACATCCTTTCATCACATGGAAGGCATCAGAATCTAGCTTATATTTATATTAGTAGTAGCTTCTTGTTACAAGTGACAAGTGCATCGCTACTAGTAACAAGGGCATTCCTAGTAGTAACAAGGAGCTACGAACGTAGCTGTTGGAATCAGTATGAGAGACCTTTTTCAACCCGACCGTGTCCGACCGCGGTGCAACGCCGGCATTGGTCGCTGTTGCAACTGAGGCGTTTTAGAGGTCTCGTCTTAGCACGGAAGGCGCTTCCGTGTGACAGGCCTTCCGTTTCGTCTGAAACGACACGGCAGGTCTGTCGTCCATCTGGCAGAGTTGGGGCATGTTTGGGGCGGAAACTTTCCTCAGACTAGCAAGTCGCCCCTGTTTGTTGTCTTTAAGTGGCCCAACTGAAGCACTTGGGCCTCCTGAAGATACGCCACACCGGTGGCTAGTGCTTGCCAGCGTGGCGATGAGCCGCACCAAGCTCCAATGCGTTGCAGAAAAGAAGGGGTGGCATTCTTGTAGTGGGTCTTTCAGACCAAAATGGCCTCAGTCTGGCCTTGGCAAATGTCTGAATTGCAGATGTGCAAGAAACATGGGTAGCAGAGGGGTGCCTGTGACCAACAGTAAAGCACGAATGATCACGAGAAAATGCATTCAGGTAGCAGGGTGGCCTTTGGGAAGCACGGAAGCACAGCATGCCCAACAAGTAAGTAAGCAGGGCTCCTTCCTTCTAGTCCTCCATCGTCATCGTTTCCGACCGGTCCGTGGCGGCTTCCCGGGGGCGCCGAGATCCCTTTGCGGCGATGTTTGGCGGCGCTGGGCAGCAGCCCAAGAAGAAGGCCCGACGTCGCGGGAATCGGAATCTCCGGAGGGTCACGGTTTTTGGGGGTAGTGTGGGATAGAACAGATTGAAACGTTAACCAAAGCAACCCGTGGCCTATAATGGGTTTGTTCTGTTCGATATTTGTAGGGAGTTGCACTGGAAGGTCGGTTTCCTTAAATTTGTTTTTGGCACACACTAGCTCATATGATCTCATATGGCTTCCCTTGATTTCATAGTTCGGGCAGTTTTTCACAAGGCCTTTTCAGCGTTTCTGACCGGCGGGGATTTCTGCGGCGACACAGCGACGGAGGGGGATCTATGGGCCTGTTGCGGATGGGGCCAGGGACTTTCTGAAGTAATCCATGGAAGTGGAGCGACAACCACCTGGAGCTGTGTCTAAGTCTTCGGAACATGGACCTCCAAGAGGCCACACAGCCACACACTTCCATGATGATTTCGGGGAGTGGTAACGACTTGGTACACTGCCACCGTTTGGGACCAGAGTCGTTGAGTGAACTCTTCTTGCTTCGATGCACCATGGACCTCACTCACCTCATGTGTCACACAGCCGACTGCAGAGTAGCTCGACCGACCGAAGACTGGAACTCCCACCAAAGCAAGAAGGGCCGGCGTTGAAGACTGGAGGCCACCAATGTTCGTCCTTGACCCACCAACTCGGGGTTTCAAGGGGTCGCAGACATTCATATGGGTGCGTGTTAGAAGGCCAAAGACCTCCTGGAAGAGAGAACATAGACCAACACCATCCAAAACCCATTGATTGGGTGGCACCCCTTTAAACACACACCCATATAATAAGCCTTGCCAGCTCCAACTAAGCCTTGCCTCTTCGCAGACGTCTGATAGCTTCTTCCTGGATAGAGCCTGGGGCCTCGGAAGCCGTGGAGGGGTTCCCTGGGCCTGTCGGGGTGTGCTTGTCACCTACTAGCAGAGAAGGCTACGTAGTGCCATGCTGAGTTGCAAGGCTTTACCTGTTGAACAGGTTTTTTAGACTGTTTAGTCAGTGCATATAGTACTCAGGCTTTTTGGGGGCACCTTGCTTTCCGAATAGCAGGAAGGAGTGTATGACTCTTCCACTGACAAGAGGTCAGACTACGTTCAGGCCAGACGCCCTCCTAGTCGTACAGTGGATGGACAAAATTATCGACCCAACATCCACACTCTTTGTTAAGACCCTGTGTCCCTATTTCAATGTGCTTTGCCAGCACGGCACTGTGGAGCTATGAGAGGCATGATGATCAGTAATTACATGCGCCCCGATCAAGATCCCTCCAACATCAGATTTGTCAAGGTTTGGAGCGGAGTTGTCAAGGGGACTGATTTGTTTGCCCATTTTGGTGGTGATGCCACACGCATCATCACCTGTCAAGTAGAACAGCGGACAGGCACTTCCTTGGTTTTGGTAGTGATGCAGGAGGTCACTTTTCCTGCATGTAACACCGGTGATCAACATCTCCAGGGCGAAGCAACGGTCACTTCCTCGCACATCAGTGCGATCAACTCCACTCTTCCAACACATCTCCAGACTCCTCAGCCTCGAGCTTGGGAAAAACTGCACGGTCTAAACCGCCCCGTGCTCCGCTCCCAGTTTCCCGTGCTCCAGCGGATCAAGCGACCTGTGTGGGGATCGCCAGCCTTGGCGGGGCGGATGCGGGTGGATAGGAATCGTGGAGGAAGTTGGTGGTGATCCCATATGGTCTTGCAAGAAGGGGGAGCTTGAGGGAGCTCCCCCCGACACACCACTTGCTATCCTTTGTCTTTGGTCGCTGGGATTAGGCGTTTTCTGCCAGAGTTGTGTCCCACGGGCGTCTAGTGCATTGGAACAAGCATGAACAAGCCAATGGGCGATATGCATGAACTATATATATATATAGATGCAGCACACCACCTGACTTCTAAAGCAGCAAAATACCGCAGCTGGGTGTCCAATATTATAGGGCAATGTGTTTCTTTTCAAAGGGTGTGAAGCGCTTACTGACTTGCATGCTAGCAATCTTGTTGAAGCCGAATTCAGCGAGGTCGGTGGGTTGAAGGAAAGCCATGCCCATTCAACTTGGAACCGCGAACCGCCTAGCTGCTAGCTGAAGCCGCAGGTCTTTAACCATAGCAAGATCAACACACAATCTAGAACAAGTTCAATCCATGATACCCTCTCTCTCTCTCTGTCTCTGTGGCCCATTGCAGACCAGCGGGGAGGGGAGTGAATTGGAGTCTCCTGTTTCAAGTGCCTAGCAAAAGTCACTAGGGCCAGCACCAGGCATTGCAATTGCCAAAGGGAAATCGGATGAAATCAGGGGTTTTGGATCAGAACTGTACGCCGGTCTCTGAGTTGTTGCAACCTTTCTCAGCTTCGCAAGCGGGTGGCCAACGTGGCACAGATTTGCTGCGAGCCTCGAGCGGATCAGGCTCATCGCCTTCTTCGCCTTCTGCTTCTACAGGGGCTGGGTGGGGTCAGGGCCTGAGTGAGAAAAGGCATCAATGGGATTCAGCGAAAGGTCCCCCAAAATGCGAGACGCTCAGTGCGATGAGTTGCGGTGAACCTGGGCTTTATATGGCTTTACCACCGAGCTTTGATGGGCGTTCAGGCGGTGGGGGCTGATCTTCGGCTGCATGCAGGGGGCCCCTAGCGGATCGGCCGAGGTGGCACGACCCAGGTGTGAAGCGCCTTGAAGTTTCTTCCCCTCAGGGGGGCTGCTGTGTTTCGGTCTCGGAGCCGGCTCCAATGAGGATCAGAGAGGATGGGTCGCTGACCAGACCTTGCTTGGACACATGATGGTGGGCTTCCAAGGTTTCTGTCCAGTTATTGCAGGAAGATATGGGCAGCAGTACTATACTTGTAGCTTCAGGTTCGATCATGTTCGAATGTTCGACCTCTTCTCTTCAATATCCAACACGGTGAAACCGATGCCTCCCCGCAACGACCTGGCACTGGGACCAGGACCGGGACATGCCGCGTCGACCGGTCGACTCGTCTCCAGGGCCGGCTCCTACTTTGACATGCTGGCGGTACCGCTGCGTGTCTCGGAGAGGCGTGGCTCGGTCGAGCTGGCGCGCTGTAGCCGCTACGCGCGGAGAGGGCGTCGTCTCGTGGTCGATGGGGCTCAGGCCCACCGGAGAGGGCGCTTGTAGTTGGGGAAGCTACAGTTATAGTTTAGTTGATCATAGTTGATCTAGACTCGAGGGTCGCCCCTGCAATTTGCAAGCCAACTGCCTGGCACTGGAGGAGCCCCTTCACGGGCCGGGCGTACGTGATGACGCAGATCTATGCCGGGCAGCCCGGGGTTCTGCCGGGCTCTTCCGTTGCTTGGGATTTCCGGGTGGTTCCCTCATCCAACCATCCTTCCAGGTGGGAGTTCACCTTCCATTCTATCGAAACGCCGATGCGCCATAAGTATCGAAAAAAAACTGCTGGCGACATCGGTTTGGGCATTTTTTGGCCAGGAGGGTCCCTTTTCACTGACCGCTCGGAATGACCGAACTGCTTCCTCCAAAGGCAGTTGTCACTTTCTTTGTGCATCCCCGACAGCGACCGCAGACCGGGCGGCGCCAAGGGCATCCGTTCGGCATAAGGCAGTGTCACAGACACCAGGTTCACCTTTTTGATCTTTTTTGAGGGATGAAGACGAAAAATCCCGGAACAGGTTCAACCTACATGCCTGCTGACCATTTGATTACATGTCCGGTGAAGGAGTGTTGAAAACACCTCCTGTGGCCCCTCAGGTGGGCCATCGATGTTGGGTTCGACTGCCGGTGGAGCGCAGCGGTTGGCAACACCTGGCATCAGGTGGACTACTTCTTCAAGCTCGTGGGGTATATCATCAATGTGGCCAAGGGCAAGGCTGGCAACCTGAGAGCTGTCAGCTTCTGTCCGGGGGGGTTGATTCGGAGAGGTCTTTTGTTCGTCTCGCATGTGGATGATCTGTTGGGAATAGAGAGATGCAGTCGAACTTGGAGACCTTTTGGTGACAAGCCGCCAGGCTTTGTGACTTGTGCCATCTTGTGCCGTAAATTCGAAAGCTTTTCCGGGGCGGTTCCCTCCAAGCCAGTGCCCTGCCCACGGGTCTCCGCCAGGCGAAGTTCCCACCGGACTTCTCGAAGATGTTGGTTTGGGCCACCCAGACCGACCGGCACAACGCGGTCGACCGACCGTCGCCACCGGTCGCCGGTTTTTGGAGTCACGGCGAGGAAAGGAGGAGAGTCAAGTCATGGAGGCCTTCCTTGGTGGTTAGACCCAGATGATCCCCCCCTTGGTGGTTAGACTTATGGACAGAGATGGACAGAACGGCTTTGCCCCACCGTGTGGATGGAGATGATGGAGTGTGGATGGAGCGTTCCCCAAGAAGTGCCTCGATGGTCAATCCAGTCCATCTACTTTCCCAATGTCTCCCTCATCTCGCCCACAAAGCCGCATGCCTCCACTGCCAGACTCCACCGGGCGGCGCGGCGGGGCAAAACCCCTTTGCGCCGGGCGCGGGCACCAACCCCTTTGCGCCGGGCGGCAAAGCAGGAGAGAACCCCTTCAATGTCAGAAGCTCAGTAAGTAGCTGCCCATGTGCCAGATAGCAACTGCCAGTGCAGAGGGCTTTTTCCTTTTCTGGGCAGCTGGCAGTGACAGCGTGATGAGCAAGTTTGATGTACAAAGTTATTGAAAGGCGTCT